CAGGATTTGAATATTCTTTATTTTTGCATTTAATATTATCTAACAAATATGTAGGACAATTTTACTACAAAAGAGAAGTATAAAATTTATTTCGTTTTGAGTAAAATTTGTCAATTACTATTCTTAAAAAACATGGAGTAGTTGAAAAACATCGTATGTGGAGAAAGCAAAGGTGTTAATGAAGATAACTGTGTCATATAATAAGATCCAAATCTGAAAAAAATTATGAAAATATACAATCCAAATGATATCTTTAATGCCGACGAAACTGGCTTATTTTATCAATGTCCAGGGTACAGAACATTAACATTTAACAAAGAGAGATGTTTCGGAGGCAAGCACAACAAAATTACAAACAAGCCGCTAGTAAATTTAAATAAATACATGGTGAACAAAAATGAAAAAATTGCTCTATTGATAGATGCAGTGCTCATCCTCAATATATCAAAGACAAGTTTAGAAACATTTAAGTTTCTTTTTTCTTTCCTCCAAATACCACTCCGAAACTGCAGCCTATGGACCAAAGGGTAATAAAATGTGTTATAAGACGCATTAATCGCAGAAGAATTTTGAAGAATGTTCCAATGAGACTTTTGAAGAATGTTCCAATGAGACAAATTTGTAATAAGTTTACGTCACTGCGTATCTGAACTTTCAAAAGTATGGAATTGGGATATCATTGAACCCATTCGCATTTGCTTTAAAAATGGCTTTATCACCAAGACTGATACCGCTGATAACAGTAGAGTAAATGACGACGATGAGTAAGATGAGGAACTAAATAATACGTGTCTGCAGCTGAAAAATCAAGGGCAATTGAAGTTAATTAACAATTACATGATTATTTATAATAACAATAATGAAACTTAGATAACAATAATGAAACTTCACGAATTCCTACCGGAGGACATATCGGACAGCATAAAAATAGCAGCTAGAAAGCAACTGATGATGATGAAGATGAAGCGTTTAATGAAAATGAATGTACAAAGTTTTCGCCATATGCTAAATAGCATAAAGAAGATATGCTAAATGCGTTTAATACTTTGCAACGCAGTTTCTAATTTGAAAAAAGTGTACCAGAATACGTTTTCTGGGCATTGTAATGATGTGAGCCGTATTATGACACGAAATGTTTTCCCGATAATCAAAACAAAATAAAGTAACTGATTTTTTTTCGAAATGAATTTATGTAATTTTCATAGGTAATTTTAATTTAATGGATACATTAACGTATATAATTTTGCATAGATATTTCATTTTAATACTATTTTTCATTTAAAATTTAAATAATTTCCTATCTTAAATAGTGTTTTAACACAACCTCCCTTTCGCAAATTACTCCATTTTGGTGAGGTTTTTCGCGGGGATTCTGCGACTTCGTTAAATAAAGTTTTATCTTTAACCAATAACCATTTTTTAATTCATGCCAATTTTCTTAAATAAATCTTCATATAATTATGTATTTTCTTGATGCAATTATATATTTTCTTGATTTTTCTTCACATAATTATATATTTCGAAAACTTTTTCAGCAGTTCGGAAAAGAAAGACCTTGACTAATCATCAAAGGCTACGATACTTGTTCAATATTGCCAAAGGACATTCCTACTCATTTCACGAAATTTCTCATAAGAAATATACCTTCCAGCTATATACCTTGAAGTTTCTCTCTTAAACTCTAGTCTATAATTAGTTTCATTGCTTCTGCTTTTATTTTTTCAAACTATCTAACAAGGGAAATTTTTAAGAAGATATTTAACTTTTGAGCACAAAACTGTGAGGAGGAATTATATTTTTAAAGGAGTTAACCTTGGTCTTGCAAAGAAAGCCACTTTCTAAATGCACTAATAAATTTAAATAAATACTAATAAATTTAAATAAAAATTCCATAATTTATCCACAAGTACTTTTCAAAACCTGATGATCAAACTAAAAAGGAAGGAAATCCTTAAAACCGTCTATAACAAATTGAAGATATTTTAAAAATAGTTTGAAGAAGCTCGAACTGCCGATCTTATGCATAATAACACGCTTTTAGCAGTAAAAATATCACAGATCCATATCAGCAATATCTAAATCTAATGGTTTGATAAATCTTTTTAAAATAAAATACAGTATTGTATACAATTATCTCTCTGAGGAGTCAAAAATAATCAATACGCTGGCTGTAAGGAAATAGAAATCTACCAGTCTTCACATAGAAAATTATTCCGCATGAACATTTTAAAGCAAACGAAACATGATTGTTACTTCCGAACAATGTTATGGTATATCGAGATTTAGCTGAAGAAAGATTTATCAAACACGAGGTCGTAAGCTTGTAAAGACCTTATTTTGTACTAATCAATTATTTTTTTATTTTAAAAGACCTTACTTTGTACTAATCAATTATTTTTTTTATTTTAAGAAACTTTCCTTTCCCTTCTGATTTCAGTTTCCTGCCAGAATGAAAATCTGAGGGATATATATGCAAACATCAATGATTTCGGAAATAGTATTTAAGTAGCAAAATTTAAGACTTCGCAATAGAAGAGTAGTTACGAGTAACTACTCTTCTAATTCCACTCTACTCGTAAATAATTACGAGTAGAGTGGGATAAGCCGAGAACGAGTTATGCTGCGGGTCCGCAAGTAACTCTGTTGTTGAATATTTGTGCTAGCCACTTACTTTACATTAGTATACTGATAATTTAGACTCGGTTTTGTTCTGTGCAGTCGGTAATGCTGATTTAGATTTAAGTAGGAGCCAGTCGTGTAGTTAAAAGTTAATTCATTCTGATTGTACATATTATTTTGTGTTTAAGATACTTAACCACAAGTGGTGGTGAAATTATGAGCACCGAGTGAGCGCATGTTCTGCTTAGTTAAGATACTTAACCGCAACATCTGTTAAGATACTTAACCACAAGTGGTGGTTAAATTGTGAGCACCGAGTGAGCGCATGTTCTGTTTAGTTAGTTAAAATGAAAAGGTCATAATAACCTTCGTTGGCAGTCATCTGTTTTGCAAGACATAGCGAGAATTCGCTATCTCTTCTTCAGTAGGGTCTACATTCTATGCTCCCAAAGAAAGTAAACCTATTTCAAGATATAGCATTTTTGTTGCAGTGATGATGAGAGTAAAGGACTAACATTTTTGGTTCTAAGGGAAAAAATCTAAGTTTTAGAAATATTATAATTTGTACTATTGGCTACTCACTCCTTACATCAGCCTCATCAGTGGGCGAGTGCTTAAGACCGCTTAAGTACTTTAACTTCGACCCACGTTCGATCCCAGGCAAATGGACCAGCTGCAGGTTTGGTTTACGTGGTTTTCCCTGTGTGTAATGTAAATATGAGACAGTTTCATCTAGAAAGTCCTCCACAAAAGCATCCCTTCCCTTAGGCACGCAGCCCTCTCGAGCTTTGCCATATTAACCTAACCTAACCCAATCCTTGCACAAGTTAACATTCTCTAAATTCTCCTTCCTAGAAAGTATGGCTTTTCTCCCAGATTCTAAATACCTCTTCTGAAAGCACATTTTCCACCAGTTATGGTTCGCATATTTCAAAGCATAATTACAAAGAGAATTCGTGAAATAAAAGTTTTGTTATAACGTTCGTGTACCATGCGATAGAATATACATTGGATATATTTAGTCCACAAATTTTTCGGCGAAACAAGGACATGTCTGAAAATTTTTAAATCTGTAGTAATTAAGAAAAAAAACAGTCTTTTTTTCTGTACATGTTGATGAGAGCACCAAGGTACTTAACCTTTCAATACAGAGATGTTTAATTTTTTTTTAATTTAGTATTAACGAAGTGATGTTTTAATACATTTAAAAACGACTATAGATTTAATATTTTATTATGATACAACACTATTTCAAGAATGGTTAGGGTTTTAGTATAGACCTAGATGTCATCAATAATCAATAACTTCATCAATTTACTCATTTTTTAAATTTTCATTTTATAAAAAATTATATTCAAAATAATTAAGGCACATTAGTAATATTATGTTTTAATTTAAAATGTATGCTGTCACTGTATTTATTTGAAACTAACAATTAAATAATCAATCTTTGTTTGATTATATTTTTCTGACCTTATTCATTGTAGCTTAACGCTATTAAAATAATGCAATAGTAAAATATATAAAAAATAGCAAATATATAAAAAAGGAGAGGTTAGAAGTACTCTACAGTACAAAGCCTTATTTAGGAATACGCGAGACAGATCAGTTGAGAACCACTGTATTAGACTGTCAAGTCATGGAATGAAAAAAATTTTGTAGACAAAAGAATTTATGTTTCTATCATAGCCTTAAGTTATATTGCACTTTGCACACAAATATATGTCGACTGATTTTCCGTGCAGTTGCATAACTCGATAAAAGAATATTTTAGCAAAATTTACTTTAAAAGGTAACAACATGCTTCACGGTATCTAGATTTGTTTTCTTTTTGCTTCTCTTCTTATGAAGTATTTGATTTTATAATGATGAGGAGTTTGCTCAATAATATGACACCTCCCACTGAGAGACTGAATTGTTTACTAGCGTATATTTACGTAAAACTAACAGATAAGACACAGAAAATAAAGTTAAGACATTTTGTGCATTAAGCAGGTATTAAGGAAAACTACAACTAGCTATTAAGCTATTAAGTAATAGCTATAAAGGAAAAATCCCAATTTTCGTGTGTAGATTTGCAAATTTAGGTAGTGCTTAGTGTTAAAACACAGTTGTTCTTAGTGTCACAGCTGTGCTTAGTGTTAAAACACAGTTGTTTCTAATTAATAACTAAATTATTAAAGTGGTACTAAGGTAAGAAATTGGCTGCCGATAATAATTCAGTCAGTAGCATAAAGTCAGTTTGTTCATTTCAACAAAAAAATATTCTGTGTCATCAGTAAAGCAGAAAGGAAAAAATGGTTAATATTACTTTCAGCATTGTTACAACAACCCATGACTCTCTTTAAATGTATTCAGTTTGGTTTTATATGAGGTCAGAATTAAAGAGGCAGATAAATATATATTTCCATAACATTTTTAGAGGTGACAGATCTTTTTACAACATTCTCCGAATCAAGGAATGGGCATTTGAAGCTCTTGATTTAACTCTAGGTGATGAAGGCAGTCCTGGCAGTCCCGGCATATTGGGTGGAGTAGGCATTCCTGGCATGTTTGGTTGAGTTGGCATGTTTTCCATACCAGGCATTCCTGGCATGTTAGGCTGGGTAGGAGCATCCACACCGGGCATTCCTGGCATATTTGGTTGTGTAGGAACATCCATCCCTGGCATGCCTGGCATATTAGGTTGCGTAGGTACTTCCATTCCTGGCATGTTAGGCTGCGTTGGCATATTTTCCATGCCAGGCATTCCCGGCATGTTAGGCTGTGTTGGCACGTCCATTCCTGGCATGTTAGGCTGTGTTGGCATGTCCATTCCTGGCATGTTAGGCTGTGTTGGCACGTCCATTCCTGGCATGTTTGGCTGCGTAGGTACGTCCATTCCTGGCATGTTGGGTTGAGTGGGGACTCCCATTTGCCGTACTTCAGCTAAAATCGATACAAAGAATTTTTCATGATATATAATGTTTTACTTGTTTCCAGAAAAACACATGTATTTTAAATAACAGCATAATAATTAAGCTCAATTTTTTTTACATTAATGTTACACAGTCTTCTGATACTAAAATCCTCATGTCTATCTGAATATGTGCACATTTTATTATTTTATTATAATATGTGCATATTTTATTTTATTATTATATGTACACATTTTATTATTATTTATTGGTATTGTCTGTTTTTCTTCTGAATAAAATTGCTGAAAACATTTTGCAACGGAAGCGAAGTGTGTAAAACGAAACTACATGCCGAAGCCATTATAAAAACGTGCCTATTATTATTTATATTATTTTTGTTCGTGCTGAGCATATTTTGCAATAATTTGCAATAATAAAACACTGAACACATTTTGCAATGGAAACGAAATGTAAAATGAAACTACACGCAAAAAACGTTCCATAAAAGTCTATATCTACTTTTTTTTAATTTACCTATCCGGGGTTAGTCGATGGCTAAAACTAAAATATACAGAAGTTTAATATATAACGTTTGTTCATTATTATGAATATTTGTCACACATTTGGAAATTACATTAAAGGCGAAAAGTTTCTATAGAAATCGTGCATTTTTTACCTTTTAACTTGTGCGCTTTGATACGAAAGAAGAAGAATTTAAAAATTTCCTTAATAGTAAGACTTTCACCTATAAAATCTTATCAATGACAACTATATCCGTAAATGGTTTAGATAAAGCATCGCTACTGTAATTTATTTTAAACCCTTTGGTTTGTTCTTTTAAGAAGATATAAAATAATGTATGTATGAGTTAAGTCTGGTTTTAATCTATTACTACTTTAAAAGGTATACATATTTTTTATTCGATTACTGAACAATGAAAAACACTGAAAGCTTATTATTGAACTAAGGAGATTATCAACTGCTACTCAATTTTATAAAATGTTTTATGAAAATAAATTCTTAATTAATGCTTAAGAAAAGTTAAAGTAATGCTTCAAGAAATTGAAATTCTTACAATTAAGTGTTTTATAAAAAGAAGAGCGGCCATACGGTATGATGGTTAGGGAGCCCACTGCGATAACGGAGGGCCCGGGTTCAAATCCCGGAGAAGGCATGGATGTTTGTAAAATGCATAGGGTTTGTGCGACATGGAGTCACTCTAAATATGCGACGAGCCAAAAGTCCTCTCGAAAGTTTGCTGATAGGGAAAGAGGGGTGGGAGATCCTAGGATGCGTCCCTCCTGGGGTGCTCTGCTTCAAAATTGGGGGCGGTACAGAGCAAAATCGTACTGTCACCTGTATAGTGCTCATTTTTGTTGCCAACGACTGGAGCGGTCTTGTTGTCCTTGCCATGATGAATTTCGTGGGCTTGTTCTGATGTTACTGTCATACAAGGTAGATAAGTCACAACAGCACAACAAACAGAAGAAATCGAAAGGCAATTTCTCTTGTAGCTCAAAATAGCATTTTATATTAATCTGTTATTTACTGTCAAACGTCATATTTGAGTTTCGAGTGCACTAGGACACTTTTAATGACCGTTTACCTTATTTCGAAATGCTATTTTAAATTTTTGTAGCATCACTGAAAAGTCTTAACGTGCTATTATCAGCAGCGAGAAATAACGTCTTAAATTTCAACTTGAACTGTGATAAAATTATGTAAATGATATTTGTGGTAAAAACAAGATCATGAAAAATTTGATTACATTGCTATTTTTACTCAATTTTGTCGAAAATAATTTTAAAATGAAATTATTTGGATAGTTTCCATGCTAATAATTTCCTTTTTGCAGCTATGATTAATATGTTTTTTCATAAACAAATTCAGATGGATTTCAGAATTAGCAACTAATGTTTTCTACCAAACTTTCAGGAGCTCAAATATTGTCCGTATTGTAAAGTCATTGTTGTCGGTGATCACAACTGTAGGAAAATATGAGAACTATTGATGAAAATTTAAAATTTTACATACTAAATGATATTTTGAAAATAAAATATTTTTTGAATAAAAATGCTTGCGTTTTCTTAAAGACTAATTTGATAAGGTTTACTCTAACAAAGATAGGTTATTAAAATCAAAATTTTCCAGTTTTCATGAAGGTTTGAAATGCATTGACTTGACCTTCAAGCGTAAAGTATTCTGAAACAGTGGAAATTTTACAAAATTATTTTTAGTTTCAGAATTAAGGTAAATCAAAAATTTGTAAATTTTTTAACTGTAAAAATTTTCTGCATCAAATCTAAAATGTGTTTAGCAAAATGAAATCATTTCTTAGCTATACTTTTTAAGGTATAATGGACAATAAAACAAGTTATTTAGCAATTATTGTGAAACATAAAACAAGTTATTAGAAAATTTATCTAAAAATGTTTTAGTACTTACACTCTTGCTTCCGACTTGCGTCAACTCTAAGAGCCAGCATGCATAAACACGCACTTAAAATTGCAGTCGTCATAACTCCCATGTTGACCTGTAAATTATAAATATTCTAAAGATAATTTTACTATGAAATTAAGTTCTAATATTTTTTTCAAAAAACCAATAAACTATAGCAAGATATTCAGTACTACTTATTAAATTATTTATTTCATATTACCTCCAAATCTTAAGATCATTATGTGAAAAAAATGAATTAATATCTGCTCGATAATTGAAATGATTATCATTAACCTACAGCATTACTTTTCCCTTTTCTGTTTAAAACCATGGTACGAGCATATCTGACTTTTAAGAAAATAATAATGTGTGTAGTTAAAAATTTCAGATTATAAGAGAATTAATTTGAAAATTCTTTTCATGCTTATTTTGAACAGTCCCTGCAACTTTTTAAATTGTTCAAAAATTAATGGAGTAATTTTAATTTTACATTTTTCTTTTATCAGCGTTGAGAAATCGTAGCCTTTTTATGATATTTCCAATCTTACCAGCTAATGGAAACTATTCCTGTTTGAAGATCAGATCATTTTTCTGAAGCTTTTCTTTTATAGATTGAAGTGAAACTTTTAGTAAGAGAATATTATTTATTAATTATAAAGTTTTCAGAATAATAACAGTAAACATTTATCTAATATTATATTACGAAACATATTCTATATCATTTAACATCTTCTAGTATAATTTCAATGTTAACTGAGCTATAGAAGTATTTCGCTATCAAATTGATAATGACAGATTTCTAATTCTTATAAGGATTCACATAGGCATCAGTTTTGAATTTATTACGCTAAAGAGTATTTTTATGCAGCCTCTTGATACTCTCTTGATATTTAAAATCACCGTATTGATGACTGTATTCAGTCTGCTTTTGACTATTGTAACTGTTACTACTGTTAACTTCATTAAATGAAAAGAACTGTCTACTACCGTTAAAAATTGTTCTGTAAATTTAAAGCTTTCAGTTAGAAATTTTATCACGCTGAATTTGGTCATTGCAAAATATACTTTTTTAAATTCGCAGTTATTGCATAAATCAAGTTATAAAAATTAAAATATTCTTACTTACTTTATCGAATCTTGAGCTTGTATTCAGAGATATTTCTCAAATGTTGAACTGAGTTTGGAAATATTCCTCACTACTTGTTTTTACACTCATCTCCCAACAGCATATATACCTTTAAAACTGGGTCATTTATGCAACATTCTTGTAAAATATGCAATTAACTACAAAAAACATTCTCAGGTTCCTTTGTTCGATATCTCAAAGCTTCATATTTTATTAAAACTAAGGAATTAACCGTGATAGTATGTAATAAATCACTCTTCCCCATTTTAAAGAGTGACTTCTTCCGATATTTTTACGCTGTATTTTCACTATCGTCCAAAATACTCCCCCCCCCTTTGCGAATAAGATAAGAAAATAATTCGTTATTACGAAACGTTATTCTTGTTAGTAGAAATTTACGAGATATAGGAATACAAACGAAACGTAATGTCAAATATCATGTCAGAAGGCGTTATCTGGTCATGTCAAAATGTTGTTATTTATGAGATTTCTTCTTCCTTTGCAGAATGACAGTGATTCGCTTTTAAGTTAATTTTGAGAATTACTTGTAATATTATTCAACAATCTATTAATGAAAATAAGTTAATAAATTTCGAGAAAATTTATAAGTATTGGAAAGTAATTAATTCCTGGAAGTGTTATTTATTTTACAAGCATTTGACAAAAAGAAAACCGAAAGTTAATTTTTTCAATACATTCTCCATTGAATTTTATTTGTGAACAATTAGAGGATAATTTCAGCAAAGAGAACTATTACCTGTTTCTTAACTAAATAAATACAGCATATATTTAATGTAAGGTAAGTATGCTTTCGTAATTTAGTCAAGCTTCTTGTAATCACTGCACAATCTAGTTAGAGAACTAGTTTTAAACAGCCAAAAAAAATCGGTGTCCGCCGATAACATCGCGGCAAAAACATCGCGGACGAAAACATCGCGGAGAAAACAACGCAAGGCGAAAACGTCGTGCTACAAAACATCGTGGGAGAAAACATCGCAAAGAGAAAACATCGCAGTTCTAAAACATCGTGGTACAAAACATCGTCGTCGAAAATAAAGCGGTTCAAAAACTTCGCAGTTTAAAAATATCGCCGTCGAAAATATCGTGGTAAAAATAAAGTATCTATTAATCATCGCATGACGATAACATCGCAGACATGCTTTTTTCAGGCTTTAATAACTGTAAATGGATATTCCCATAATGATTTGTGAGCGCAAGTGATGTAAGGAAGGATAATTTTTACTTTCACATTTTTTTATTAACTAATAAATTTTTGCTGAAAAAATAAGAAGGAAACTTAAGCATAGAAAATTAAATGCAACTTAATAGATTATACTTTTTATGAAAAATTACCTGTAAAATCTTTATTAAAAAAATTATTTATTATGGTCTTTGTTAGTTAACTATGTCGATTTAAAATTCTATTAAGTGCTATAAGTTGCATTAATTTTCTATACTTAAGTTTCCTTTTTATTTTCTCAGCAAAAATTATGTATTAATAAAAAATATGAAAGTAAAAATTATCCTTCTTACCCTCTTGCGCTCACGAATCATTATGGGAATATCCATTTACAGTTATTAAAGCATGTCTGAAAAAAGCATGTCTGCGATGTTATCGTCATGCGATGATTTGTAGATACTTTATTTTTTATCACGATATTTTCGACGACTATGTTTTTAAATTGCGAAGTTTTTGAACCGCTTTATTTTCGACGACGATATTTTGTACCACGATGTTTTAGAACTGCGATGTTTTTCTCTTTGCGATGTGTTCTCCCACGATGTTTTGTAGCACGACGTTTTCGCCTTGCGTTGTTTTCTCCGCGACGTTTTCGTTGCGGTTTCGGCAAAAAAAACTTTTGATTTGAATGGTATCAATTGATGATTACTGATGGTTTATGACCCTAAAAGTTCCTTTTTCCTCCATTAATTAGACTGTCTTAAACTTATTTTACCAAATATAAAGCTCTGTCTGATAAATATAATAAAATAATAATAAAACATCCAATAAGTAATGAGTAATTAAAATTAAATAAAATGTACAGTTTTTAATAAACTATTAATCAATTTGGTTAAAATTAATGATGTGTAAGTAATTAACAAATTTAATTAAAATAATGTGCCATAAAAATTATACGAAATTTTAAAAAAATGCTTACAAATCATGATCCCAAACATAAATAAAAAGATCAGAATTTTGGCAATTATGCTGTCAGATAAAAATTACATCTTTATTTCAGCTTCTAATTCATTTAATGCTTCATTCTCTTATGTACCAAGCAGGTACAACATAGAAATATTCTTCTGAGTGGATTGCATTTCGAACGTGGACTCTTTCTTTCTTGCTCAATCTTGCCACAGTTTACTCTTTAGTAAGAAAGGGAGATATCTGAATACGGGAGCTCGTCTCGAGTTCGATCCCAGGCAAATCGGATGGCTGCACTTTCGGTTTTCGTCTTTTTTCCCATGTGTAACGGGAATGCGAGCGACTTTCCCTTAAAAAGACCTCCCCTAGGGCTTCCCTCTCTTAAGTAGATAGCCCTTGTCATATGCTTTGATATATTCCAATAACCTCTAGTAGCAACCTAACAGAAGGAGGCATTCGATAACTATCAATATCAGTTTACAAACTACTAAAAATATATCGCATTAACAGCAACATTTTCTTCCGAATAAAGTTATATAAAACGTACCAACACTAATCTAATTAGAAGACGTCACTCAAAACTAATAAATACCAAAGCCGAGATCTAATGAATTTTCTAAAATCTACAAGGTGGCCTAAAAAGTCCCTTTACATAGAACTATTTCATTGTAACTTTAATAACACAAACACTTACAGTTTTTGTCCAAAACGTCCGTTATGTGCACCACCACTTTCCCTGCATAGCTTCATATGCCTCAATGTCCTCCTACTCAGCAGCTTAAGCAGCTGCGGTGCACATGCTGGACGGCTTTAAGTACATTTGCCCGCACAGCATCATTGTCCGAGTACCACTTCTTTCTGATGAATGATTTGATGATCTCCCACAGAGCATTGTCTATAGTTGTAAGGGAGAGACTTCGGTTAAGAATAACGAGCTGGTGGTTTGGGAACCTGCGTCCTATCCACCTTCTAGGTAACAATGCATTAAGGCTTTCATGAACAGGTGCGAAGTGGGCAAGAGCTCCATTGGCTTGGTAAACAACCATATCGTTGGAGCCCAAGCTGTGGAAGAAGACAATCATTCAACAGCTCCAAATAAGTAACCTGAGTGACGGAACTCTCAAAGAATTACGGAACAGAGATGTGCTCTTCAGTGATCCCCGCTCAAATCGTTCTTCTCCCACATGATCAACGTTTGACGACCTGGTGGTTCCTTACCGAAACTTTCACGAAACCTATCTATACCTGTGTCATATTTTCGTCGTTGTGCTTCCTTTCACTGAACCACACACTTGAAAATAAGCGCTCCACCAACGTGAAGTCGTTAGTATCTGTCCTTGTTCTTTAACAAGAACAGAAAGGCGAGGCAATGAACTGGTCAACGCCCAGACTTGATTTTCTTCCCCACTCAGCCATGTGGCAATTAAGTTGAAGAAACAGGTAACATGCAATGTTGCCATGTCAAGGATCAGGATGGGAGGTTCAAATCTGAAAATTTTTCACGCATTTAATTCAGGTGTAAAGGGAATTTCTGACCACACTGTAGAAGCTTTGCATCACAATGTTGAGCTATAGGATGTTTCAGAAAGAAGCGGAAAACTAAGGCAAGATTTTCGTTAAGTAAAATTCCTATGAGTGTAATGGAATATTATTATTTGATGTGAAGATTATCATGACAAGTAATAAGTATGAGAGAGTAATTCAAAACAGGGCGTAGAAAAAACACTAAACTGATTTGCTCAAAAGAAATTAAAACAAAACAGAAAGATCATTTTGAGTGGCTTACTCTCCAAATGAATATTTTTTAAGAATAAATTTAAAT